GCGAGACCTCTCTCCCAGCAGGCAGCACCCCAAGAATGCTCAGAGAAGAGGAATCAGAGAGCCACGGCCAGGGCAGATGTCAAGTAGGCTCAGGGGCCGGACTCTTAACCCCAAGCTGAGGGTTTGTGGACAGAGTTGGGAAGCCAGCAGCATGCACTCTGGGAAAACAGAGCTGTGTTTTGTCATTGGACTCCAGTAATGGGTGACAACTTCTTTAGCAAAGCTACCGCATGAGAGCCCCTGTGGGAGCTGAGCCCCTCTGTTAATGACTTCTTAATGTTTCCTCACTGAATGCATTACATGTGCTTGAGAAAAATAAATGGGCCAAAATATATTTCATGATAATTAAAAGGATTATCCAATGATGTAACTAAATATTCAGGATCGTAGAGGTCAAAATCTGCCATTTAAAACCACTATTTTGAATTGAAGATTCACAAATTTGACTTTTTTTTTATGTTTGTGAAAGTTTCTTATGCTCACCAAGCCTGCGTTTATCAAAAATACAGTAAAACTGTCTTCTTTTTTTAGATTTTATGTAATATATTATTTTTTCATGTATTCCTGTGTTGGCAAAGCTGAATTTTCAGCAGCCATTCCTCCAGTCTTCAGTGTCACATGATCCCTCAGGAATCATTCTAATATGCTGATTTGCTGCTCAAGCTTATTATAATCAATGTTTCAAAAAAACAAAAAACAAAGTTGTGTTGTTTAATATTTTGTGTAAACTGTGAAACTTTAATTTTTTTCAGGAAACTTAATTTAACATAACATTTAAAGGAATGTGATTTTTTCGAAATAAGCTTTTTTTGTAACAAAATAAAAAATCCTTACTGTCACTTTTGATCAATTCAGTGCATCCTTGCTGAATAAAAGTATACATTTCTAAAATATTTTTAATATACAGTATATTAAAAAAATCGGCAGTGTATCTTTCCCAGTGTCTGTGGTGGTTACAGCCAAGCAGTTATCTGCAACAAATCAGCAAAATGAGCAGTTATGACCCTAAAAGCTCAGTAGAACAGGTCAAAGTTGATTTTCGATTATGTTGTCCTCTGTGGTTTTGGCGATGGCATCTTTGCTTGGCTCTCTTGCTAGGACACTGTAAATGAGCCTAAGCGAAGATCTTCGAAAATGACTTTTGCAGTAAAATCTGATGCCTCTCTCCAAGGATTTCCATACAATTTCCATGTTCCTTTCAGAAAAGCAAATTAAGACCATGCATTGCTGGATACAGAAGATAGTTGGCTGCTCTTGTACATACAAAACACGCACGCTAAAATCACACAAAATATCCCTCAACAATAACAGTCGAATAAGCGATACAAAAACATGCAATAGACATACGTGCCAAGGCCAACCAGAGCAGATCAAGACGAAATGTTGTTACAGGCCGTGCATCACAAACATTTGGATTTACAAGCATTTGCATTGAACTTGAGGCGATTTGCTTATCTACTTGAATGTCTTGGAAATGTTGCGAACAAAGTACAACGAAAAACGAGAGCTTAAACGCAGGAGCACAGCGAGGAGGTCAGGACTGTACTATTGTTTGGATCCATGTAAATAATCCCTTTGAATAAATACCACAAGCGCAACATGGCTTGGCTTCGATATGAACTTCTGAAAATGATATTCACTGGTACTCTGTTTCACAATTCACACGCTCCACTTCTTGTCCCTTTGGCTGATTACTTTATGAATGGGGGAGGTGATATTTTCAGCATCGTTTGTTTAGAGGCGACACTCTTGATATACTCAGCTGTTGTGTATTTATTGGAGAATACAGTGAGTGCTGTAAAACAAAGGCCTTTGCACATGTGGTGAAACACTGACAGAGAGGGCTAAGTGAAGGGAAGGAGACAAGAAAAACATCCCACAGGTGTTAATGATATAAACCTGCCTGACAAGGTTCCACCATGGAAACCTAGAGGATGATGGTAGTTTGTGTGTGAGCAGACACAACTTCAACTGCCCGCATTGACTTCATCAGCTGTCAGCTTAGCAAACATGGTAATTAAGAGCCGCAAATTTGACAAAAGCTTCCGCGCTACACATTTCTTATTATATTACAAGTTGCCTTGCAGGAATTCCACTCAAAAGCTGCTGGTACTGAAATGAGGGTAACAAAATTGGGATCCTACCCCTTTCGTTCATGCATTGCTGAAAGCCAATGCAAAATTTGCAGGATGCCATTTATTTCATATGTCAAAATAAACCTGTGGACTTGTGACTTCTCTTCGGGTTAATCTGTATGTTAAAAGTGCAGCATTTTGCAGCGCGGCATTGGCCAGTGTGCTGAGTAGCTGAGGCGACAAAGTCAACAGACTGAGAGATGGGTTTTCTCTGCACCTGGGGAGCAACGAGTTCAAGAGGGGAAAAAAAGGTGTTAGTGGGAACAATGACGTGGCCTGGCCAATTTGAGTTGTCCTCACGTACTCTGGACAGACAAATGTTTTGGGTGTAAACCGTGCAGCAATGCAAATGACCAAAAGTGCATTTTCGTTGCTTTATTAACACGGCACAAAGCATTTTTAATGAGTATTTTTGCCTTGTTTTCCAGTAATCATTTCTACACATTCTTATAACAAGATACTTTTACTTGGCAAGCGAAAAAGAGTCGTTTGTTATTAACCCAGTTAAACTATTAACACAGTTTTTGTTTTGTTTTAAAGAGGTCATATGATGCGATTTCAAGTTTTCCTTTCTCTTTGGAGTGTTACAAGCTGATTGTGCATAGATATGTAGAGTATCGCGTTGTGTGTGTGTGTGTGTGTGTGTGTGTGTGTGTGAGAGAGAGAGAGAGAGACAGTGTCACATCACAGTGGAGTCAGCTGTCTTAACCGTGGCTTGTGTACTGCAAACGCATACCAGCTTCATCACTGTGTCTGTCACGCGACTCTGTTGCCCTTTCGGGCTTGAACTGATGGTAAAACTAACGACATTATTAACTGTCTTGATATTTACTTTGAAAGCTAAGCTCGCGATTATGGTAAGGGGCGTTACATTTCCGACGAGTGCTTGCGGTGTTCGGCCAATCACAATGCACTGGGTCGCTGGCCAAACAGAGCAGACTGGGCTTGTCAGAAGGAGGGACTTTGTAGAAAACGAAGCGTTTGAGAGAGGCGGGGCATATAGGACCTACAATAATGTACAGTATTTGAAAAATAATGTGTTTTTTGAACATTAAAGCATGTCAACATATTCTGTTACACCAAATACACAAAATAATGATCTTTAAAAAAGCATCATATGACCCCTTTAAGAATAAATCTAACTGCATTTACTGAGGTTTATTCTTAAAAGATTGCATATATGATTTTGCTTCTCAAATAAAAGCATTTTTAAGGGTGCTATATTTTTAAAATATCATTTAAAAACAAATGCTGATTAAGAATGCTTTTTCTTTTTGCAGTGAATTGTGTTTTTCTGAATTTAGACAATATGTCTTGCTGTTTTGTCTGTTATCAAAATCTGATTTTATTATCTCACTCTCGCTGAGCTCTTGAAAGGTTTAGTGCGGAAAGAGAAAACTGCTTGTTTCACAAGTAATCATACTTGCTCCCAAACTCTGTCTATTAGAATAGTTCACCTAAAATACATCAAACTGTAGATGAGTTGGTTTCTTCATCAAAACAGATTAGCATTACATCACTTGCTCACCAATGGATCCTCTGCAGTGAATGGGTGCCATCAGAATGTGAGTCCAAACTGCTTTCTAACAATCATGCAGCTTTTCACTTCACCTCATGCAGTCATGTTGATTACTTGTGGATTATCGTTATTTTTTTAATCAGCTGTTTGGACTCTCATTCTGACGGCACCCATTTACTGCAGAGGATCCATTGACGAGCGAGTGATGTAATGCTAACTTTCAACAAATCTGTACTGATGAAGAAACAAATTCATCTACATCTTGGATGACCTTGGGGGAGTAAATGTTATGTTTAATTTTGTTTAATTAAATGTTTAATTTTGGGTGAACTATTCCTTTAAGGAAATGTAAATATGGAACTGCAGGTTAAACGATTGCACAGCCAATGTTAACATAATCTGACCTGCCTTCCTCATGTGCTACAGTAGCAACAGTGTTTAAAGAGACAAGTTGACTTGGACTGACATAAGGGCCTAGTAAAAGGAACTAAACAAACAGGCTGACAATGCTAGTGACGGCACTTTGCTAATGTGCTAAATCTGACACTATGGGAACAGGGCTCATGAGTCTTGATGACATCAGCAGATCCAGTGTCCTACTGCTACAATCGCCTATATGTACACTGTAAAAAAAAATCTGTGACATTTCACCGAATATAGTATAGAAACTTACTGTTAACCAGTTAACAGGTTTTTACTGTAGCCTTTTTACAGTCTTTTACTGTTAAAATCACAATCATTTTTTACAATGTACCCTCACTGACTTCACTGTACTTGAACTAAAAATCTTCTCCTCTGTTGCATAATTACTGACCCGTTTTCCACATCGCAAGGTATTTAAAGAAACTGTTTACAGTAAATAAGTGAGGAGATAACAGCGAAAATGAGCACAGAACAACCCTGTTGTTCATTTCTTAAGACGTATTGTCTAAGCAGGATGTTTTCAGGGTTGTAGATCTAAATTCTTTCTAAAAAAAAAGCAGAATTTGACTAACAGAACAGCTGCAGTCAATCTATAATTTCATGCTAGCCTCTCAGTCGTTTTAGGAGATATCGTGCAGAGGTTTTTCCTAAGAGACTATTCCCTGCTCTATTTGAAGCCAGAAATGATTCCATCTGAACCAATGAACTGTGCAATGAGCGTTTAAACTATAATGTCTTAGTCTTATATTGTTCACATTTACTATTTCAATTTTGCAATTATTTGTACTTAATGTATGTGTAGTTTGGAAATTTCACTTTATTAGTCGCACTAAAAAACACTCTCTCATTTCTCATAGGAGAATGAAATCAGACACAAGCCTTAATGTAGCAAAAAATCATTTGTTTCCTTTCTTTTTCTCCATTTAGCTGTCCGTTTTTACTCTCTGAATTGCTGCATTTACTTGTGGCCGCTTGGCAGTGTCTTTGCTCATGTTGTTGATCACATGCTCATGGCTCCCTGCGTGCGGAGGGAAAGCTTGTCCATACACCCTCTTAGGAGGCGAGAAGGCTGAACGGGCATTTCCGTTCTGGCCGAGTCCTGTCTGAGCCTCTCTGGGCCCCGGCTGGAGGTCACACGGCTCTGGAGCCACTCGAGAGCCCTCGAGCCTGGACGCGGCCGGCTCCTGCTCGGGCGGGTGGCTCTCGGTGGAGGTCATCATCTTTGGATCCCAAACAGCTCCAGGTTTCAAGTTCTGGACTGCGGTGGCGTTCAGGAGACACTGCTGGTATAACAGGGCATCGCTAATACCGCTGCTGCCCCGCGGCCACATTACGAAGCGCGGTGAGAGCGGGTACTGGCGGTAGGTGGTCGCTACGCTCACATTGGAGGAGATGAGCTCCATGTTAGCTGTCGTCCCACCTGTGGCAGCATACTGCAGGGAGAGATCCAGACAGCCGGGCAGAAAACCACACAGATCTTTGGGAGAAGGTTCGACCGTGGAAGAGGCCGAGGAGGATGAGAAGGCCGTCTTGTAGGAGTTATACTCAGCAGCATGGACCATACTGCCAGGGAGGAAGAGCGAGGCAGAGCTGGGCTGGTTGGACTCGAGAAGCTCTCGTTCTTTATACTCTCGTTCCAGCATGATGGTCTCCAGCTCCTTGTCGGCAAAGGCTCGTCTCTTCCTCATGCGGTCGCTCAGAGGAGGGGGCAGAGCAGAACCCAGAAACGGGTCGTTCTGCACTGGACGATATCCTGTCAATGAAGAAGATGAATTTGGTTTCATTTACAAATAACAACAGATACGATTTATGCCACTTTTTGTTGTTAAGAATTTCTAAATGAATTTAAAACCTTTTTTTCCAGTGGAATTATTAGTATACACATTAATGTGTTGATTAAACTGAGCATTGATAATATCATGCACGGTTTTTATTTGTAATACTTTTTTAATTATTATGTATAATAAGAAGCTAAACATATGCTGTATTTGAGAGAAGCTTACACCATGAAAATATCCAGAGAGGAACCAAGTGAATTATATGAAATGGACAGACGTCCAAGAAAGGCTGAGAGAAGAGGGAAAAAGAGGGGTAAAATTAGTGTTGAAGAGAAGAAAAAAAGGGCAAAAGATCAGATAGATCAACCATCAGCTTTTAATAAGAAGCAAAGAAGAGTTCTTAGTTTATGCATGCAATTTGTTTTTTGTTTTTTAACCCACCTTCTAAAATACTTTTTGCCAGCATGGTCGATGGACGGATGTGTCGCTGATATATACTTCTTCTTTCCACCGGAATTTGCTTCCCGGATATTCCCTTTCTGTCCTAAAATTGAATGATAAATATTTGTAAGATATTTACTGTATAAAGTAGCATCTTGGATCAGATTATGGGGGGTTAAACCGTTTTTTTTTTACTGTTGCAACGCAGTAATGTCTTGATCTGACTGACTACATTCAGAAAAGTCTACTTTCCCCCCGTTTTGTTTCACTTTCTCAAGCGTTTAGTCTTACATTTTGTTCTCCTCAGTTTGATACTGATAACAATAAACGGTCTAAATAGCCTGTTCAGAATTGCATTAGTTTGCTCTCACCTCGGTCGCTTGCTGTCTCCGCAGTGCCACTTGAGCAGCCATTACGCGCTGTCTCTCCACCACCAGCAGGCAGTTCGCGCACTGGCAGTCTCTCCACCGGCAGAATCTCTTGTGCCCCTTCAGACAAGACACCACGCCGTGGTTCCTGCAGCGGGCGCATTTCGGAGTGCGGCTCATTTTGCGCTGGTCTCCAGAGCCGAGGTTCAAGCGGCTGCTTTTGTCATCGTCTTTGGTCCCCGCGTCCTCCTCCCCGGGTTCGGTGAACACCGCCTGATCATCGCTCTCCGTTTCCAGGCCCTCCACGTCGATCTCAAACTCCGAGCTGGAAAGATCCGTCATTTTCAGGACGCGTCTAAATAGATGCTGTCCAGAAGAAAAGAGGACTAATTAGTCAATTATTTAGGAGGTCTATAATAAATATTTGTAATTAATTTAACGTGTCAATTAATTATTGCCATTTCTACTTGAGGTTTCAAAGAGTCAAATTTGCACTAGGTTCAAAACATTAAATTAATTTAGCACTGCAGCTTGTAACTTGGATTTTACTTTTTCCAAAATTAAAGCAGCAATTAACTTATGTTCTGACTTTTTGCAGTATATTTAAAAAAACATATATATGTGTATACATATATATGTGTATATATATATATATATATAT